CAGGTTGGTGTCCTCGAAGAGGCCGACCAGGTAAGCCTCGGAGGCTTCCTGCAGAGCCATGACAGCAGAGGACTGGAAGCGGAGGTCAGTCTTGAAGTCCTGGGCAATCTCACGGACGAGGCGCTGGAAGGGCAGCTTGCGGATGAGGAGCTCAGTGCTCTTCTGGTAACGACGGATCTCACGAAGGGCAACAGTACCAGGCCTGTAACGATGGGGCTTCTTGACACCTCCGGTAGCAGGGGCAGACTTACGTGCTGCCTTGGTGGCCAGCTGCTTGCGGGGGGCCTTGCCTCCGGTAGACTTGCGGGCAGTCTGCTTGGTACGAGCCATTGCGAATGATTGTTTGGAAACAGTCTGGCCGGCTTTTCAAGAGCTGAATTTATACCAGAGGGCTTGGCCGTGCGGAGAAGTGTGTGGCTGGCACAGTGTGCGTTGGCGCCGCCCATTTCCCCGGTGTAAGCAGGACCAGAGACCTGGCCAACTTTACCTGTGATCAAAGGAAATCCTTGATGAGAAATGGGACAATTAATACAGGATGTCATCAACAAGGTGATTGCAAACACATGCGTGTAATGGGTCAGGTGACTTTGGATGGATTGGAAGGTGTAAACAAGTTTATTTGCTTAGAGCGGGCGGTTAAGATGAGCGGCCGGTTGATGCGGCAAGCCTGAGCGCTACGCGAGGGTAGGGAACAGGTACCATTGCTAGGGTTTGCCAGGGCGGATCATCTTCTCGTTTACTCGCAGCAAGACAAGTCGCTACCATGACTGGACGTGGAAAGGGCGGAAAGGGTCTCGGAAAGGGGGGCGCCAAGCGTCATCGCAAGGTGTTGCGTGATAACATCCAGGGTATCACCAAGCCTGCCATCCGTCGTCTTGCCCGTCGTGGAGGTGTCAAGCGTATCTCTGGTCTCATCTACGAAGAAACCCGTGGTGTCCTCAAGGTATTCCTCGAGAACGTGATCCGTGACGCCGTCACATACACCGAGCACGCCAAGAGGAAGACCGTCACCGCCATGGACGTCGTCTACGCTCTCAAGCGCCAGGGACGCACCCTGTACGGTTTCGGAGGTTAAACGTTTTCAACAAGATCGAAAACGTCAACCACCAAACGACAACCATTACCACCAAAAACCTTGGACCTATCTTAGGTCCTAAAATTATTACAGAGATATCATCGTTGACTGAATGGAGTTGATCGTGCTTTATTTTAAGTCTTTGATTTCGTTAGCTTTTGGGCTTGTCGGCGTTAGGGAGCATGTTTGTGGGAAAAAAATCATTTACTTACAAAGAAAGAATGACAGAGTTTACCATACATTCATACATGGATAGAATCAATGCAATGATAGGCCTATGGCAACTTGTTTGGGTATCAGAGAGTGAAATAGATCCATGTTGTAAGGGGTGACTATTTTAAAACAAAACACACACACTGTTATGTTGACGGTTATTTATGAGTGGGTGTCTATTATTCAAGTCATATCAATAATTTTTGGCTGACACGACTCGACTTGATATATAGATGTTGGTTGTTTGTATACATTTATTGACCGTTATATAGTTTTTTGTGTGTGTACGAGGGGTGGTGGATTTGTGTTAATTACTAATTAACTACAAGGATAGCTTGACAAACAATATTGAATAATCAATAGTAGCGTCAATGTTGCAGATGAAGTCAGCATCATATTGGGGATGCACATGTTTGTTTGCTTTAAATTAATAGTATGTTTGTTAGTTAGTTATACATATATGCATTAACGAAGTAACACAAAGAAAATCACCAATTGTGAATAACTGAAGTATTGTGAGTAGGTCAGTCATAAACGTTTATGGAATATAAGTGAAAGAATATCAGAGCTTTGTCACATACACACATTCAAACCATTCATTCAGTCACACTCACTCAATCAATCAATCACAATGTACAACCAGATTCAAAGTCAATACACATCTCACACACAAACCAAACCAAAGACAAAGACAAAACAAACAACTACTTGTATCAAGCATGAACACAGCAGAGCAGACCACACCACACCACAGCATAATCATACACAAGGACCAAACAACAAACACAACAAAAATGTAGTCAGTCAATCACTTACCTAATAACCATCTATCAATCAATCTGGAGGCTAGCTTACACGACCGACACAAAGATAGACAAAGAAACAAACACAGTTACATGTAGGCACAAACACACGAAAACAACAACAAAAGATCAAAGGAACAAGAAACATACACCAACACCAATAACAACAAACAAACAGGGGGGAGGGGAGGGGGACCCAACAACAAAAACACAACAAACAACAACAAACCAAATTAAAAAGACAGAGTCAAATCAAAAAACAAGACAAAACATAACAAATCAAATCCAATCCATTTCATTTCACGTTACTTTACTTTGCTCTTGCCTCGGGGAGACCTACACGGCCGAGCCTTGGACTGTGTCACACAGAAATGGACTCTATGCGTAATGATACACACAAATATAGGCCTTATTCGCTGTATAAACACTGAGACACACAAATATAGGCCTTATTCGCTGTATAAACAACAGCTAACTACCAAACTGGTATTCCGGTCTTTTTGGCAACGCTTTTTTTTTGACAGAAAATATCTCAAAGTATCACGAGTAATCATTGTTTTACAGTCCGTACAATACAAATATGTTGAAACAAACTGTAGGCAAAGGTAGACTAAACACGTGTCAATGAACAAGTCTCAAATACTAGCTTATCATACCAAATAACAATTTCTGCAATCGATATTCACACAAATAATCACATATTAAACATGTTGCATGAAGGAAAGGTCCTGCCTTATAATAGGTTGGATCGTTCATGAGGAAGATGCTCATATTCATTACATTTTAAGAATGTTTGTTTGGAAGTAAATATTGTTGAAAATATTATTGGTGTTGCATTTATGTTTGATTTTATTATTATTAAATGCCTGTTGTACATGTCTTTATCAATTATTACAACCGCAAATTTGTTTATAAGTTTATTTTTTTCATGTATTGTATTTTTGGAAATTTTCTTTTAAATAACTATTGAACTCTGCATCAATATGTTGATACTCATTGATTTCATAACATTCAGATACTGATATGTAATGCTTATCACATTATTTTTGGGGTAAATACAAGGTGCCTTGGTGTCTCACCCACATATTTGGTATAACTAAAGGGATCATGATACAGTAGTGGACTATGAACTCTGATAATTCCAGTGATATATATACTATTTTATATTGGATACAGTGTTATCTTGTTATGTTATCCAGAAATCATTTATGCAATCTAACACATTCATATATATCTTTAAAAATATGATATTGATGATAGGAAATATTACACAATTATGCATGAAATATAAATATATATAATATATATATATATATATATGATTAGATAAAATGTAATATGATATTGATTATAGGATTTATAGCACATGGGTATGCATACACAAGTAAAGACAGATAGATACACACACACACACACACACACACACACACACACACACACACACACACACACACACACACACACACACACACACACACACACACATACATACATACATACATACATATGTACATGCACGCACACATATGTATGTATGTAAGTATAGTACATGTTATTATTTATATTTTTACTTTTATATATATATATATATATATATATATATATATATATATATATATATATTATATATATATATATATATATACATATATATATATAATTTTTATATTCATATACATATATATATATATATTGTGTATCTATGCACACATACACATCTTTATGAAAAAATACATTAATTAATTATTGTATATACATGTTTATTTTATTTCCTTTTTTTCTTTCTTTTCTTGTCTTTTCTTTTTTCCCATATTTATTTTGTTTTGTATACATATACATTTATACGTACATACATATACATAAACATATGTCCATACTTATACATAGATACATACATACATGGATGTATATGTGGGTTTGGGTGGGTTCATGTGGGTGTCTGTGTGTGTGGTGTGGGTGTGTGAAATTGTCATACATTCTATCTTATTGTTTCATGTATATCACTTATATTAATAATTATATATATAACATTACATTTTAGCTATATTATACATTATCATCATGTTAGTTGGGTCACATATTTGCAATTATTATTATTTCTTTATTTTCTCAACAACATTAATCACAATCATTATATTTATTTGTCAGAACTCTTACAAATTTCATTCATATTATACTTTATCATATAGATTAAGATATTTTATTATTTATGTTATCAATATTCACATTCTAAATTTGTATTTATATATATATATATGGATTTTTGATATGTCATCTTTTAATGCACCTGTATCTAAAGGGAATATGTATATATCTTTTTGCATTGTTTTAATCTTTTATTTTTAATTATTTGTATATATCTATATATTTATTTTATTATTTTTACAATATTTTCCATTTTTAATTTTTTTATTACAATTATAATGTTTTTTGCTTCTCATTTGTATTATTTATATTATTAGTACTTATTTATGCTTTTCTTATTATTGTATTTGTATCTATATTATTTTCTCTATTAGTATTGCACATTCTTTTATCTATGTGATGTTTATATTATCATTATTTCTATTAACCATATAATGTTACTGTTTCTTTATCATTTGGTATGACGGATTTTTATTTCCTTTTCTTTTCTTTTCTTTTCTTTGCTTTTATATATATCCTTTTTTTTTTTTTTTTTTTTTGCATATGTATATTTTACATTCTTATGTTCCAGTTACAATAATTTGTGATAGTAATATTATAAATAATTGTTTTATACCTTTGTTTCTCATATTTCTATATTAGTGTTTCCATTATTGTATCTGTTTGTGCACATTTCTTTATTATATTTATTTTATCTGTTTCTACAATTTTATATAGATAGCTATTCATATTATTATTATTATTGATAGCCACTCAATAAATACACTATATATATAAGTAAAACATTATATCGTTAAATTATTTTTATAACATTTCACAGCATTTTGCAGGTTGTTCATATTATATATTTTGTCTTATCATTATATTTTTAGTAACCATTAAGTCATTAACATATCAACATGAGCAAAATTACTGTCAATTATATGAGCTTTAACATCTATTCTATATCATTTTGAACATATTCTCATCCATTTGCAAGCAATATGTGGGTGGGGGTGGGTGGGTGGGTGGCTTGGTGTGTGTGCATGACTATATTTCTCCGAGTTACATGACCTTTTCATACAATATATCCTTTTATTGGTTTATTTGTCAAATATATTTATGTTTATTTGTATATATGTTTATTTTATTTTCCACATGTTGTTTCTCACAATATTTCCTTTGCCCAGCGTGCATATAGTGTCATTTGTATCATTTGTTGCAGATATGGCACAAATATATATATTTGCAGAGGCATTGTTAGTGTATGCATGTTGACCATGACTTTGATTGTGTTTTTGCATTTATTCCAATCAGTATATATTTGCTCATTTTAACTGATTTACATGTTATATTTCTATTCTTCCAGATCATTATCATGAAGCTTGGCCTATGAGGTATGTTTATTTTCTATTTTATTTTCTATTTATCTTCATTAGAACTTTGATTGTATGATTTTCAATATTCTAATTTGTATGTATCTTTTGTTCAGATTTGTTCCTTGTAATCATAATATATGTCATGTCATCAATACATTTTACACAGAACACAAGTTATAGGCTATGCCATCAATTTTTTTTTTTTTTTTTTTTTTTTTTTTTTTTTTTTATTATTATTAACATACATTACCTCATTGTCTCTTCTTCTCTCATTCAGACATGTTTTTTTTTCTTTTCTTTTCTTTTTCATTTTATTATATCCATAAAATAAATATATCATATATATCTATATCTATATATAAATATAGATAAATATATATATATACATACATTATATCATTATGTATATTATTTTTTTTATTTATATACATATTTATATGTATGTTGACATATATATTTTGTATTTTATATATATATAAATATATAATATATATCTATATACCTATCAATCAAAATCATAATGTATATAAATATGTATGTATGCATATGAATATATATTATTATTTTTTTATT